GATTATGTGCACGAACTAACACCGATATTTTCAGGGTCATCGCGCGTCCTCAATCGCCTCTCACATGACAAGCTTTTCGGTTGTCTTCTGAGGCCGGCAAAAATAGAGATCGGAGACCGGAATCCTGTGGTTTCAGTGATCATAACATGGCTTTGTGTGGTGGTTCGTAGTTTTGAACTCGTTCATTTTCAAACTCGTTTTCAACATTCCAAGCTGAAACTTTCAGGGTGTATTCTTAGTGGGGGCAATGAACAAAATCGCCAAGTTAACCTCTATATTCTTCCTTCTTTCGTACATGGGAGTGAATATTGCTTGTCTTGCGCTCGAGCTTACCAGTGCCCCAAATTTCAGGTGATTCAATTATTTGCAGTTCATAAGTTTGAATGTGTTTTTTGAGCCAACATTATTATTCGACAGGCTCTGTACTAAGGGTACAGCATGGGGATGTGCGAAATGTCGGTCCCTGTCTGTACTTCCGTACCAGTTTCCATTTTTCTATACACTGCGGAGCATAATTATAGTTCCACCCATCAATCTCACAAAATTTCGTCCACGACGTTTTCGAAGATGCCGCCAAAATAGGAAATGTGGCAATTACCATTACCAGCTCGCATGCCACCACCGGAAACTAACTTTCCTGAGCAATTTTTTTTCTTTATTCTTTGAAAATTTATCACTCTGATAATGACGCAAAAAGTATAGTTGCACCGCATTTCCCGTTGCATCTCATTTTTATTAGGTAAAACTTTCTCATCATCCTAACGTTTTGCCTTTTCTAGGCTGTGGCAAGGGAAAATCCATTATAGGACTTCGAAAAAAGACAGATTATAGCAAAGAAGACTCAAGGACTGTCGAACCAGTCAAATCGCACGGGCTTTGAGCCGCAGTCATCATGTTATCCACAATTTTGTCAAGGAACCTACAGGATATGGAGTTAAGAAGATGGCCCTGATGGCCTTCCTTTGCTGTCCGATCGGCATAAGCACCGTATCTTGAGAGAAGCATCCAACTTCACAATGTCGTGTCGGGAAATGAAGTCATCATTAAAGCTTAATGTCTCGAAGGATTGTGTTCGGCGTGTCTTCAAAAAGTCCCGAGTTCATTCTCACCGTTTCTGACAGTAAACCATCATGAAAACCCAATTGCCTTCGCTCAGAAGATGTAGCCGAAACGACTGGAGTAAGATTAGCTTTTCGCTGCGGTGCACTACTGCTTGTCTGTCTTGTCTTTTTCAGTTTTTTTCTCTAGGTCGTGTTTTCTGATGAGAAAAAATTCAACTGCGACGGCCCAGATGGAAACCGATTTTACTGGCACGACCTGACTTCATTTTTCCAGGCGGAACTTCAGAGGATGTGGTCTCATGGTCTGGGCTGCCATCGCATCAATGGAACGTCTGAAACTGTGCTCCATATAAAAAATGATTTCTTTCGTTTTCTAAACGTCATGCGACGATGTCTCCTTCCTTTCTGGCTAGAAATTAGCGAGGAAATTCTGTTTTCATGAAAGATAATGCGCTAGTCATGTCAGCCAAGCACTCGAGCGTGGTTCAGTCGTCACCAAATCGCTCTTTTGCCCTGGCCAGCGAATAGCCCCGACTTAAACCCAATCGAGAATGTGTGGGGCTTCATGGTGCGCAAGATCTATGCGAACAATGCGCGATTCCAAAATGTCCGTGAGCTTAAGGAGGCAATCATTGATGCATGGCACCATGTCGACCGAAACTTATTGACAACCTCTATTCGAGCATGGACAACCGCATTTCAGAAATGGAGCTGAAATATGTTATCGAGTTGATTGTACATTTGTTGTTGGATTAATCGATTTATTTGGTGGAACTATCATTTTGCTTCAGAGTGACCATTTTACAAAAAAAAACCAAGAAAAAGAAATTGTTCTCCCAAGTTGGTGTTTGGTGTTGGCGTG